TGGGGGGGAGGGGTTGGGCGTGCCCGCGGGTTTCGTTCGAGGTGGGAGAAGGAGCCTGGGATAGGTGAACTTAATGGCTATATGGCGTAGATTTCTTGTCGTTTGACTGGGTCATGTACATCTGAGGGCGGGAGAAGAGAGGGAGGAAGGACGGTAGGGTGATGGGTGGAAATAAGGAGAAAGACGTGATGCTGCGTTGTCTTTTTCCCTTTACTGAATGGGCTGGAAGTGAACGAAGGCAAGCCGTCGCAAAATTACAGGTTTTTAATGTGTTTAAGCCACGGTTAGACCTTTGAAAGATGTGATAAAATTTTGGGTCAAAGGCAAAATTCTACAAAATCTCGACCATGTAATTTTATTTTTTGCTGAATTCAAAAATTTGCATAAATTCTGTGTTGGTGTCATAAATTGAGGGAAATCTGTACGTGTTTTGAGATAGTTATCTATAAAAAGACAGTGAGGCTTGTGCCTCAGAATGATGTTCCTGAAGCATGTCCGAGCCCGATCGTAGATGAAGTGGTGCATTGTGGCGCGTTTGGATACCACTGGGGGCACACACAGAGGAGTGCTTCTGGATCCGGTTCTTCACGCCACTTGTGTGCCTGTGCTTTTGAGAAGTTTGGGATGAGCTGTGAATAATGATTGCAGCGGGAAGTATCGGCGGCGGCTCGGATGGATCGGCCTGTGCTGCGAAGAGCCACGGGATGTGCCCGGCAAATTGTAAGGAGAATGAAGAATTCTGGGAAAGGCATCAAAGAAGAGGACGGTGAGAAAGCTGGTGAAACTGAAAGTTCCAGAAAACCAGGTGTGGAAGAAAAGAGTGCCGTTGTGCCGGTAGGTTCTTTGATCACCATTTTAGCGTGGTTTCCTGGGGTACTGGAACCCCTGAAATGTGGTTGTTTGGATGGCACGGGCAGTTTTTAATGATTTTTATGCGTTTTTGCATGTATATAAATTACAAAAACGCATATTGAGAAAAGGCTATGTGTGTGTCTGTGCGTTCGCACTTTTTGTCACCCACTTTCAACTCGAGAACCAGAAAAGCTAGAAGGTTGAAACTTTGAGAATATGTGCACATACCACGCGCGACCCTCCCGTTTTAATTTCATCCCTCGCGGTTGCCTGGGAACGAACTGATTCATTCTGCAGAACTGGGCATCAGTTGCATGCTTGCTTTGATCAGCCTGCCGCGGTTCCTCAACTGTGCGCCCTGCAGCTTTGGCTGGTTGTCAGCCGGTGGCGGTCCGATTTATAAAGCGTTCACCAAGAAGTTTGACCTCACTGTTGCTCGGGATGAATTTAACGGGGTCTTGTCGAAACAGATGTGTGAAATGTCGTAAACCTGATCTATAGTGTAGAAATTTCAAAGAGTCAGCAAAGTGGTCATGCTATTTATGCGACATCAGAATCACCTTACTTCAAAAGTGTGTGCTTGAAGCTTACAGTTTCTTGATGAAAAATTAGGACTGTGGCTTTTTACAGCTGTTATCCGGGTCCGTATTGCGCTTGGGAAGCAGAGGGACTGGGAAGGCTATTAAAAAGGTGGTGGTTTTTCTTGCTCCTCTGTAGGTCTTCCACGCTCTGCGTAAAGGAAAAAAAAAA